CTGGTGGAGCCCGGACTGTAGAGGTGAAGAGACTAGATTTTTGACTTGAAAGTCAACCAGCAGCTAATAATTCGTGAGCTGGGAAAAATGCCATTGAAAACCAGGAGGACGACTGTGGTGATGACAGCGATCATAAACATAAGAACACTTAGCACTTGCTGAGCACCTGTTATGTGCCAGACCTTCTTGTCAGTGCTTCACTAGTATCATCTCATTTAATCCTCACAACCGCTCTGGGAAGTTACTACGATTATGCTAGTTTTACAGAGGGAGAAACTGAAGCAGCGGAGTAATTAACCCGGAGCCTGCAAGAATAGGAGAAAGAGACCCCGTGGGGAGGTAGTGAGGAAATCCAATGACTTAAAGGAATTCAAATGACTTCACGTTAAAACAGGTCTAAGGAGCAGGCAAATGACTTACATGATATAAATGCTGCAGAATAAATCAGCAGCGTATTGGCTAGAATTCTAGAGGGAGGACAGAAATTCAGTATCTTTTGCATGCTTTTGGGCATATCAACAACATACTACATTTAAAGAGTACAAAGTGGAAAATGGCGTGGCTCGAAGGAGGAAATAAAGGTTCTCGCACAGGACTTGGTTTGAAAGAAGTAACTGGGGCGACCTCTGCCCATAGCTGTTATATCGTGACCTTCTGAGGCTTGGAAGTTTCACGTCCTTTGAATCACTCTTGAAATTCATCTTTCTCCACATTGGCAAGGTCAGGTTAGGCAGCAAGGGACGAAAAGATCCAGGAAGATTTTCTCCCTTCCTCCCTTCCTCCAGTCTGTTTCTTTCTTTCAGTAAGTCTATATTTATTGTGTATCAGTTATATTCCATGCATTGTTTTAGAGGCTGGCGATACAGTGATAAATAAACTAGGAAGTCCCTTCCAGGCCTCATGAAACTTATAATCAGAGGAGACACACGATACACAAATAAACATATATTATTTTAGGTACTCATTGAATGCAGTGAGGAAAAATGAAGGAGGTTGAGGGAAGCATTCATTATACAGGAAGATAAGTGAAGGCCTCTCTGAGGAGCTGACATTTGAGCTCTCATGTATGCAGAAGGAAAGATCAAAGTCTGAGAATATGAGGAAAGACATTTCCAGGCTTAGAAATCAGCCAGTGCAAAGGCCCTGGGGTGGGCATCTGTGAGGCCTGTCCAAGGAACAGCAAGAAGGCCAGTTTGGTTAGTGCACATCAAGGGAGAGGAGAGTGGTAGGAAATGACATCACAGAGGAAGTACGAGGCCCACATCTCTCAGGGCTTTCTACTTTGGACTTTTTTTCCCTAAGTTTGATTGGAAGCTATTGGAGGGTTTTGTTTTGGGAAGCAACTGGATCTGATTAACTTACAGCGAGAAAGAACTCATAAGCGGGCAAGAGGAACAGGGAGCACAGCCTAGGAGGCTATTGCAGGAGTCCAGGGGGAGCTGACTGGTGGCTGGACTCAGGTGGTACTGATGGGGGTCAGGAGATGAGGCTGGACTCAGGACACAGTCTGCAGGAGAAGCTGCAGGGTTTGCTAGTGAATTGGATGAAGGGCATGAGAAAAAAGAGCAAGAATGTCCCGAAATCTCTGTCCTTGGTTAAACAAATGATGCTACCACTTTATTTGGGGAATGATTAGGTTTAAGGGGTAAAATCAGGAGTTTATTTTCAACCAGAGATGTTAGCCTGCTGTTGCATAGACCAGCTTGGAGTTCATGGGGGTACTGTGGAAAACAACAAGCGAAGTAATCCCTTGTGGATAGAAAAATCCCAGTTCTCCCTACTTATTAACATTGATTCATTCAGCAAATATTTATTGAGTACCTACTGTGTGTCAGGCCCTGTGCCAGGTGCTGGGAATACAGCATGGATTTGCCCAGAAACATAAACTATCTTCATTACAGCTTAATTAGTTCACTGGTTTCTGAGACACTTCTCTGAATATTGTGTAAATATATAGAATCAACTCTCAAGAGTTATAAATACTGAGATGTTCTCTGACTCAGCAATTTGGAAGAGCTCAGATTCTCGGAAAGAAAGGAGCTATATATAGCTTTGGACAAATGACAGATTTACCTAATAAAATATTTGAAGACTGCCTTAAAATGAATCAGAAGAGACTGCCTCAACCAAATTAATGTTTATGAAGAGTCAACTTGGTGTAATGGAAAAGCTTACAGGGCTGGAAGGCAGAAGCTCTGGGCCTGTCTGTCCTGCCCAACTAGATCACAGGTATGACCTTGACTGAGTCCTTCATCATCTTGCTTCAGTTTTCACTTCAATAAAATGAATCCACTGAAGGCAGTATTTTCCAAAGCGCTTACAAACTACTAATTTTTTTCTTTGTATTATCTTCTCCTGGACTCTTATTCCTCTTTCTAACATTTATTTAAAAATAAAACCCCAAACTCCAAGGTGATTCTTCTTTCTTTTGAGGGTTCATTTTTTGAAGCAAAGTATTTTCTTTTTGCAAATGAAACGTGTTTTTTTCCTGACTGTAAAATGATACATGTTCAGAAAAGCACAGAGAATAAAAAGTCCCTACAATGATACCATGGAGGTAACTATGTCTGTTTTCACCATCAGTGCCTCTGCAACAGGTATCATATTAGCAGGTGCTTAATAAATATTTATTGAATGAATGACTACTGTTAGTATCTTGTGAAAACATCCTTTTTAGTCTTCAGAGGAAAAAAAGAATCCTTTCTCTGGGGTTGTTTAGCCTCTGAAGAGGCTATAGTTATAGCCACCAGAGACTGAAACTTGCTAGGACTGTATCGAATCTCTGAGATTACACATTTCACAACAGCTGATGTCTGTTATCTATGGAATGTAGGGAAACAATAACACTAAATACACCACTCTGATGGCTGTAAACAATATCAAGGGTGGCTCGGTTTGAGCAATATCAAGAAAGGCTGCGAAACAGTCCATGGTCTAACCAGGAGGGGCTCTGGTAGCAGCTGCCCCACAAGTCCTTCCTCCCACACTTGGGCCCTCTTCCTTCCCTACAGAACCAAGATGAGGTTTTTTGGGGCACTTGAGTTCAACTCAACAATTTTTATTGAGAATCTAGCATTCTTTCGATTGTTAACTCCCTTCTCAGTAAACCAAGATGGTCTTCTGATTGCCTCTGGAAATGAATGGAAGCCAGATCCTGTCTGCAGACACATGCTGTATCTTTTTTTCTCAGATGGAATTCGTGGCTAATGTTGAAAAACTGGGACACTGGACATGTGGATCTGAGTTTTCAGATCTCTTGAAAAATCGCTGGATTTGGCACCCATGGGCCCTCATCACCTGGAGCAATCAGCTGGAAGTGAGGGCAAGCCTCCCACCTGACACAGGGGCTGTGTTCTTCAGCTCCCTGTGGTCCCACCTGCCCCTACTGTGCTATATCCTGCCTCCTGGGCTCATTCACCCAACTTGCCACCTCTAACAGATTACGGGACGCATTCAGGGATAACCCACTGAGCACCAGGCACTGTGCAAGTCTCTTGGAATACTTAAACGCAACACAGCTACTACCCTGGAGGAGCTCGTGTATAAACCAGTTAATTACAGTGCAGTGAGCTAAATGCAGCACAGAAGGCATGACCGTGGCACAGCATGGGGTCTCTGCCCTGAGAAACTGGTTGGAGGTTCTCTGAAGGTCACTGAGCTGGATTTTGAAGGATGAATATGAATGATTCAGGCAGGTGGTTGGTGGGGAATATTGCAAACAGTGGGGGTGGAATGGAGAGCATTTATAAGATCTTCTGCCGAATTGCTGCCTGTTGCACAGGGGAAACTCTCAAGCCAGCAACTACCTTTCCCCTGATTGATGCTGGTCTGTCTACAACCCTCTGCCCAGGTCCTCCCATACCTTCCTTCTGTCAAAACACCAGAGAAGGTTACCTCTACCAGGAAGAGCCTGCCTGACTAATCCCCATTCACCTCCAGTTACTTCAACTAAGGCAACACTCCCATTCTGGAAAAACTGGCTACCTGAGGGTGATTCTGTTATTTGAGCTCTTTGTTTTGTTTTGGAACCTCCGACATTTGAAGAATAGACCAGCATTCCAAGTAATTGATCAGTAAGTGTTTATCAAACACCTATGTATTTGATTGGAACTCTTTCTGTCATATATATCATTTTTGGCTCCAACAATGACCCAGTTGAGAAAGAAGACAAACACAAACTGAAAACAGACTGCAATTCAGAAAACATTTATTAAATGCCTGATATTCACAATTTTTAAAATACCTCCATCCATCCAACATTTACTGAGCACTAATAGGGCCAGGCAGTGAGCTTGGCACCTAGAAATGGAGATGCACTGAAATATACAAGCTAGCAGGAGACATGGATAAATAAACCCCTTACAGTAATTTTCCCGCCAGAGCAATGTTCAAAGTACAGCAATAACTTTAAAAAGAAGTGTTGACTGCTCCCATGAATACTGGGCAGGTATCACGGAGAAGATAAGCTCCAGCTGCTTATCTTATTGACTTTGTATCATGACATTTTACAACATACACAAAAATATAGAGACGAGTACAACGAATCTCCATGTACCCATGACCCGGCTTTAAAAGTAGTAACTCATAGCCACTTTTTTTTCTATTATTATTATTTTTTAACAGCTTTATTGGAGTATAATTGCTTTACAATGGTGTGTTAGTTTCTGCTTTATAACAAAGTGAATCAGTTATACATATACATATGTTCCCATATCTCTTCCCTCTTGTATCTCCCTCCCTCCCACCCTCCCTATCCCACCCCTCTAGGTGGTCACAAAGCACCGAGCTGATCTCCCTGTGCTATGCAGCTGCTTCCCACTAGCCATCCATTTTACATTTGGTAGTGTATATATGTCCATGCCACTCTCTCACTTTGTCATAGCCACTTTTGATTCATTTATACCTCCACCCACTTCACTCCATCCCTTTGTTTTGTTTGGAAGCCAATCCTAGACGTTTTAATCATTTCATCCATAATACTGAGCTGGAAATGTCTGGACTTTCCGCTAGTAACATCCTTCTCCCAATCTATTCTTTTGCCAGTGACTACTCCACCAGAGTTATATACCCTGATTCCCACCAGTAACCCCAAATCCTTGACTGGTTCAGGGTAAAGATCCAAGACTTTATTGGAGCCTCTGAGTTGACAGAAGGAAAAGCCTGAGCTGATCCAGTGAAAACCCCATCCTGCCTTATCTGGAATACTGAACATATTCTTCTGGTCCTTGGCCTTTGTAAAACTGCTAATTTCTTATAAGCTTGTTGAGCCCCTAATGTGTGGACAAAACGGGAGCTACATTCCACATTCCCATGTGCCCTTAGCAACCTTCCCAGAAACCTCAGACAGTATGGGGCTTGCTCTGCAGGCCAAGCTGCCCCAGATTTGCTTCCTGTCATCACCTTGATCTTCACTGGGTGGGGAGCCTGGTCACATCTGAACATCTGGCCTCTCTACCTTCCACCCCTTCAGCGTTTCTCTCTCTCTCTGAAATGTACCAACATCATGCAATTAGTTACTCAACCCAGAACATTATCCTGGACTCCCTCTCCCTTCTAATTCTGCCTATTCGTTTACAGCCATCCACTACTGTCCACCTCCATCATCACCCTTCCATCCAGGCCACCATTCTCTTCCCTCAAGTACGGCAATATTTAAGCACTTTTCTGCCTTTGGCAAACCCCCCCCCACACACACACCAATTCTCCACGCAGTGGCTGAGTGATCGTGAAACGACCTGCTAAAAACCCTCTCATGGTTCCTAACACCTATGGGATCAAGACCAACTTCCTTATCACTGCTAAGGAGGCCCTGCTTCTGCTCCATCTCCTCCCTGGCCGGCAACCCAAACGCTCTTTTCAGGGCCTGGTTTCTCGGGTCTCTGTGCTCTTACCTGGGAAGCGCCTTTTCTCTCGTAAATAGTGAACGCTACAACTACCGCGCCCTCGCTTACATGCGTTATCTCACATGAATCCGCAACAACACTAAGATATCATCTTCATTTTGCAGACGGACAAATTAAGGATGGGCACCTTACCCATGGTAACACAGCTAGTAAGTGGAAGAGCCGAGACTCGGATTCAGACTCACGGCGCCAGAGGCCACAGGCTTAACCACCGAGTGCCAGCCTGCCCGCATACCCCTCCATCGCTGCAGCGATCGCTCTCAGCGGCGGACCGCGCCCGGCAGCGACCGTTCGGCGACCAGCAGCTCAGTAGGAGGAACGAGGCTTCGGATTGGCAGCCTCCGGCGACGCCGGGGGAGAGGGAGGGCACAAAGGCGCAGGGGCGTCGCGCAGAAATGACGCAACACCGCGGCTCCTTAAAGGCGCCGGACTCTCGAGCGGCGCACGGCGCAGGCGCGTTCCGGAGGCTCCCGATTTTGCTCGCATCGCTGGGAGCCGGCCCGGGCAGACGGGCGCGAGCGGGCTGTGCAGACGGGGCGTGCGCTGGACGCGGGCGGCTCGAGGGGTCCGTTTGGGCGGCGTCCGGAGCCCGACCGGCGGGCTGAGGAGCGGGCGCCGCGATGGCCGAGGGCAGCGCAGTGTCAGACCCTCAGCACGCCACGCGCCTACTGCGAGCGCTCAGCTCTTTCCGCGAGGAGTCCCGCTTCTGCGACGCGCACCTGGTCCTCGACGGGGAGGAGATACCGGTACAGAAGAACATCCTGGCGGCTGCCAGCCCGTACATCAGGTGAAGAGGGGGCCGGGCGGGGCCGCGCTGCCCGGAGCCCGGGGGCGGGGCGAGGCGGGCGTGTCCCCGGAGCCCCTGGTCCCCACCCCCCAGCTGCCGGGGTCCCTCTGGTCACCGCTTAGCGCGGTGTCCCTCCCGGCAGACACCCCGGCCGGGCCCCACTCGTTGCCTCCCCGCAGGACAGCTCCTATGGCTTCGGCCGGGCCGGGCCCGTGCCCCCCACAGGACCCCACTCCCCCTGGAGTTGACCCCGGACCTCAGTCCCCCCGCCCTCCCTCCGCGAGTTCCCACCGCCCGGCGCTGGCCGGGGCCTCAGAACCCCGGAGGCCCCCAGACGCCGTCCTGGGCCGGACCCGGCCCCGCGACCGCGAGCAGGGCTTGGGCGGCGCCCGGGAAGAGCTGCCTCCTCGCCCCGGCCCAGCCCGCGGATCCCTGGTGAAGTTTGCCGGCCGTTCGCCTCCAAATCGACACATAGTGGGCCGGGCCCAGCGCCGCGAAAGCGGCCAGGGAGCGTCCCTCCCGCGGAGAAGCCAAACAAATACCTCCTCTCCGGGTGTTGGCAGAGGGAAAACCCTGTCGGATCTTTTTCTTAGGATGGACGATCCGACACCCCCTCCCCCCCAGCCCCAAGTTCTTCGCAAAAGTGACTTTCCACCCTTTGTGGGAACTCCTTTTAAAGAGAAGGGTAGCGCGTTATAGACGTTAAAGTAAGCTGTAGCACATTTTAAAAGACTTACTGTAATTCTCAGGATGCTGTTACAGCCCGAGGACCATGAGATTTTAGCGACTTACAGAAAGCATTTAAAACAAAGCTTAACCTGGTTTGCCAGCTCAGCTAACGAGGTGAATTAAAGGTTGATAGGACAGTGCTCATACAAGTGTGTCACATCTTGAGAGGGCTGTTATGTTACAGCAACTTTCTTGCAAACTGGGTTACTCTTTCAATAAAAAAAAAAAAATGCTAGAAGCTGGAGAAACTGCCTAGTAAGCTGGTTAAATATAGACTAATAGTAGAGAATGTCACTAGAATTGACAGGTCAGAAAAGGCAAAATGATGTGCGCTGCATTCTTAGTGCATTGTCCTAGCAGAACTCGGCACACAAACTGCATTTTAACCTTTGCATTGGCAGACATTTGTGCTAAGTCAGAAGCAGCTCAAGCGCTCTGGTAACTTCTGGCTCCTCCTGGCTCTCCTAAATCCACTTGCACTCTTTCTTTGTGGATTTAAAGGTGCGGTTGGGGTGAGTTGTCATTAGTGTGGATTTAGATTGCCAACATGACAGATATCTCATAGCTGGCAGTTCAAAGCTTTGAGCAGTCAATATAAAATTGGCATCAGCAAGCCAGCGTCTTCCCTGTATCCAAAGTATTCCCTGTTTGGGGAAATGGTTAGGAAAACTACTTTAGATGTATTAGTGTAGTTTTGTAAGTGACATCCAGCTGGCTTAAAAGAAAATTGCAAATCACCAAATACATGCTCTCTATTCCCTTTCCGTGGTTCATTTTTCTCCATAGCACTTGCCACTATAATATACCCTATATTTTATTCATTTACTCTGTGGATCTTCCCCACCCACAGTGTAAGCTCCAAGAGGCCAGGGACTTTCCTTTCGTTCATTACCGTATCCCTGGCACACAGAAAGACCAGTGCCTAGTGGTTAGCAGATGGGTTGAAGCAGGGACTGCCTTCCTTTATGCCACAGAAGACTGGACATGAGAGGACCGGCCCTGGTGCGTTTCCATTTCAGATGCTCAGTTGTCCCTGATTGAGAAGAGCCCTGCACCTGCTTTCTGCTCCCAGCTTTCACTCTTCTACGAGTTGTCCATAGATGACTTCATCTTGGCTTCAGCTCACTAGTCTGATAAATGAGGAATAAAATGCGTCTTCATCTCATTTAATCTTTGACCCACACTGTGAAGAAGTAGGTAATAGTGCTTTGAGCCGCTCACAGGTCTGCACACAGGTTTCCAAAGGTAGTGGTATCACTGCTATATCTGCTGAATTAGGAAAGGTGGGGCATCCGCTTGTGATGTGGTGGCACGTATGAGAATATTTAGTAATGTGAAATGTTATTTAGACCAGCAGTATTTTTTTTCTCTATTTTTAGTTTTTTTTTTAAGATGTATTTATTTATTTATTTATTTATTTTATTCTTGGCTGCGTGGGTCTTAATTGCGGCACGCGGGATCTTTGTTGGGGTACACGGGATCTTTCATTTCGGCACGCGGGATCTTTCGTTGCGGTGTGGGCTCTTCGTTGCGGTGCACGGGCTTCTCTCTAGTTGTGGCCTGCGGGTTTTTCTCTCCCTAGTGGCGTGCAGCCTCCAGGGCATGTGGGCTCTCTAGTTGAGACGCGCGAGCTCAGTAGTTGTGGCGTGCGGGCTTGGCTGGCGCGCGGGCTTGGTTGCCCTGTGGCATGTGGGATCTTAGTTCCCCCGACCAGGGCTCGAACCCGTGTCCCCTGCATTGTAAGGCGGATTCTTTACCTCTGGACCACCAGGGAAGTCCCGCTAGCAGTAATTTAGATGTGAAATATTACTAATCGTAGTAGCAGAGCCAAAAGGGACTTCAGACCCCTCTAATCCAATTCTGTTACTTTCCAGATGAAGAAGTGGTGCTCGGTGGGCATTAGTGATCTGTATTACAGTGAGGTTATTAGCACTTAATGGTTGAACTAGGATTAGACTGCAGGTTAATGACACCTAGTCTCCTACTCGTTTACCATACCAAACTACAGCATTACTCACATGTAACTATTCTTTCCAAGTCAGTAAGCGGTAGAGTTTACACAATATGTTATGATTTACGTGCTTATTAAGTACTTTCACATGCTGTCTCACTTTGATTTTCATTTTCAACCATCTTGTACAGTAGGCAGGGCAGATATTTTTGACATTTTACAGATAAATATGAATTAGTCAATATGTGTTTTTTCAGTGACTAATTGCTGTAACTTTATTTGACTGTTGAAGTGGTATATTTGTTCTTGGGTTTCTTTTAAAATTATCAATCTCAAGGCTACTTCAAAGTAATGTGACTAATTTGTGTTACTGCTTAGAAACAAACTTTAATTTTTGACACCAATGATGTTGGGCTTTTATAACATCTTTGTTTTGTTTGAATGGAACTTAAAGAATTCTGTTGAAACAAAATGAGTCTGTATGTTCTAGAACTTGATGTTTCTCATTTTCCCTTGGGAAGCTGAAGCATTTAGGTCTGTGATATCATTAATATAGGGATTGGGAGTTCAAAAGTTTGGTAGTCTCTGAAGTTTTATAAAAATCTGAGTTTTGTTTAATGTCTTCAGTTAGCCTGGTTTTAGTAACTGTCGTAGGGGTCTGAAGTTGTGCAGTTTAGAAACAATGTTATATATTGCTTCTGTATCATCAACCAAGGGAACCAATCCAACACTGTTGCACTAGGAATTAAAACAACTCATTTGGCATACTTTCTACTAAATATAGAAGTCTTTTAGCCTTACTGGTTTACTCTTTTCCTGTGCTTTATCTTTGGTTTAACATTTGTTTTTCCTCCGGGTCATCTTAGCAATCGTACTGCCTTAGAAACACTTTCAGTATAAAAGGAAAAAGCCAGAAAAAACCCAAGTTCGGCCACAAAACCCCAGTGATAACCTGAAAGAAGATTATGTAGGGTATGTGTCATGCAGCCTAAGATTCAAATGCTGTAGGGAAGACAGGCAGGAGCTTCCATAGTTCATCACTCACCCCAGTAAGTGGGAAGCTACTTTCCCAGCATGCCCTCTGCCCAGCATTTTCTCATGATCCTGAATGACATTTTTCCTTTGGTTTGTTGGGAAAACAAAATCTAAATGTAGCTGACGACCTTTAAGAATGATGACATTGAATTCATAGCTTGTAACAACGACCCACAGCAACCCTTTCCTTTCTCAGCAACCCTGAGACCTCCTGGGAAAGGTTCCCTGAGGCTTATAGGAAATTTCCTTTTCTCTTGAATATTGCAAAGTTTGCTTTGCTTCATGTCTGAGGCTCTTCTCATTCTGGCACAATTCCCTTGATCTGATGTGGAGTTCAGACTCCTCTCTTTCGTGAGCTGTGGTTCTTCGGGGGTAATGTATGTGAAAGGATTTGGCAATGAATTGCCATGTGATTCTGCAGTGGCATTATAGTGGCTCTGTACAGGTTCCAGTCCCGCATAGTAAAGGAAAGAAAGATTCCCAGGATTTTGGGATCCTTTGATGAGTTAGCCAACAATAAGAATGGCAGTTTTTGCCCTTGTTTTTTGAGAGAAAGCTGGTCTAGTGGGGGTGGAGTGGAGGCATTGGGCCTAGAATCCAGCCTGGATCATCTTGGACAACTTTTCTGGGCCTTAGTCTGCTCATCTGTGAAGTGAGGTTGATTGGGCTCCGTGCTGTTTTCGGTCCGCTTGGCGTGTCTGTGTTGTGGGGAGGGGGTCTGTCTCTGTTCTTACGGCTTTACTGTATCATGTAAAGTTTTGTTGCCCATTGATGTTAAAGCCTTTCCTTTGCCCTGTCACACAGGACGTGGTTGGGTATTCTGCTGTATAAATCTAGCCCCGTAGAGTTGTTTTGTAACAAGCATTTATTTTATGCTGTTAATCTGGATGCTTTCCAAGGCCTAGTTATTGATGAGCCTGTTTTGCCATTTAAATCTAAAATTTGACTCATAGATGATGCTGATGAAACTTCTTAAGGAGATGGTTGTGATCTCTGTAGGAGTCCAAGTTTCATGGTGATGCAGAAATTGTTATCATCCTTTCTTTAGGTACTTGAAATCTGCCCTGTATTTTATGAGCAGTAAAGTCCACTAGTGTTGTCTGCTATGTGCAGAGCAAGCTGTCAGCCCCCAAGTCCCTTTTCTTTCACTTGTGCTCTGAGTTCATAGTCACCTGTGTATGTAGCAGCTCATGAATGATTGTCATAAGGGTTTTGTATAGCGATTGTAACCTGTTAAGTTTCTTAGTTCTCAAGGGTTCAGCTAGAAGCTCCCGGTTCTGAGACT